CATGACAAAACATGCCTGTCACTTTTTTCGATTTAAAGCAGCAGTGGACGACCACTGCAGAAGCAGGCTGAGCTCCCCAGTGCCAGGAAAAAAAAAATCACACGAAACAAAGAGAGGAACTTCAGTCCATCTGTTTTTCTAAGGGAACTCAGCCATGCGTGCGGGAAGCTTCGCTGTTTGTACTGTGGGATTAACAGTGAGGGCCTCAAATCTCCTACTGTCAGGGATGCCTTGCTCCTGGACCCCCGAAACAGGACTGTCAATCAAGATGGGGGCAACCCCATGAAAAGAAGGGGCCTCGTCCGAAAAAGGAAAAAGAGCAGGAGCTTCCCTGGGGCTGGATGATGTGGTGTATTATACCTGCATGGACGCAGACAACGCATACACACAACATGAGAATCAGCTAAAGAAAAGCAGAGATGAGACTATTTTTGAGGTTTCAGTCTGACAGAAATACAAAAGACTAAATCAGGGGCTTCAATTCAACATTGTAAGATATGAAGTCAGACGTATAAAACATCTACAAAAATCGCAGTATGCCAAAGCTTTCTTCATAGCAAATAACTTGGTTGGAGAAGAAAAACATTTTTTTCCTACAATTACATTCTTTTCATGACTTTCCACAAGCACACAGCCCAAGAACCACAACATATAAATCTTTTGACGTACACTGTATTTGACTGTATACAAAACAAAACCATTCGAATTGAGGGCTTTATATTTTTAGCTTTCCCGGGACTCAAAATCACCATTACTATCTTAGCTCAATCTTCTTAATTCCATACAATCACCAGTTGAGTATGTGCAGTGGGTGGGGGGGCCATTCCTTACATTGTCTTGCTCTGTGTTTGAGCTTCTTACCATGGATTAAATATGAACCTTGAAAACATGGCTGAGGTAAACTCCCATCTCCAGACATACTGTAGACTCTGATTCAAACATCATACAATTTGACTGACTCAAATTACATCTGTTTTATGTTTTTGTTGGCCATATTTAGTTAAACCTACAATACGTGTTTGCTGTCAGGATAAATGGTTCTAGGGGTTTTAATTTATTTATAAATGTCTCAGCCTTTTTGTGCCTACTTCTGTTAAATAGTTATTACACAATTACAACAAAGCATGTTGTTAGCATTACACAGCTGCATCACCTGACCAGAGCTTTCCTGACTCTTGTCATGGGTTCATCATTCTGCTGTTTATTCGATTTATGCCTCAGTGTGGAGCAGACAGAGAGCTGCTGGCTCCTGCACTACAGTGGTACTGCATGGTGTTGGTTCAGTCCAGCAATACAGCACTAGGTGCAGTTTAGCCAGCTGCGACTGTAGGACACTGTCTGACAAAGCAGCGGGAGGTGGAGGTCTGAGGGGGCTCCTGTTAACAGGGAAACACAAAAGACTGTGCTGCTTATGCTATCCGGATGTCATGTTACAGTGGGTACAATGGGGCTTGAACACCGAGCAGAGAGGAGAGAAAGCTCAGGATTGGTATTCTACTCAGAGAGGGTAGAGGGATGTTGTGGGGGAGGACGTTTGGGAAAAAAAAAAAAGCAGGGAAGTGGTGGACACTGCCCCTATAAGCCTATCCCGTTTGTAGACAACTGAAGGAATGAAAGCCAAGTAAGAACAGCCCACTCAGGGAGAAGTGAGATCCTAAACAAATGGTGAAAGACGAAGCACAGAGTTGACAAGTAACATACATGTATCACCTGATAATTCTGATTTGGGGCTAGATAATGAAGATCCATATATATTGGTATCAATGCCATGTAATATGATGGATACCTGGCGCAGAAATATCACCACACTCTCAGATATAATTCACATACGTAATCGAACTATCCAGTCCCTTCTAACTAACTGAAAGGGTTGAAAAGTTCACCTTGAATGGACTTTATCTACGAAGAGATACATATCTCAAAAAATCAGGCCCATGATACATGAACATTTCAAGATAACAATGGCCTCAGCTGTGGATATGTATCAATATCAAAGATCAGAACGAAAGGAGGTTTACCTGTGGACGTTTGCCTCAATTTTTTTAAGTGAGGGCCCATACATTTTCTGCAAAAACAAATGTCCTTTTCTGGTTCACTCATTGCATTTAAATCCATATAGCCCCAACACCACAAGAGCCTGTGTAGCCTGCATTCACAATAGGTAGAATCCTTTGTAATCTACCTGTGCTCAAATTCCTAAAGCTTTCAGCTTGAAAGCATTTGTAAAGCAAGTAGACCAATGATGAATACATGCAAATAATAGCACAACTACCTACACAGGAGGTGCAGTCAGCCCCACACAATAAGCTGAATGAAAAGCTCTTTTTAAAAGGACACACTGCTAAGATTCTTTTTCAAAAGCGTTGTGTTCCAAAATTAAAGCAACATGTCTGAGAGTGAGACTGAATAGCCAGTGGTCAGAAGTTATGCAGGTCACTGGAGAAAAACTAATTTCAGGATTGGGAATACAGCCTGGCAATACTGGACAAAAACCGGTTGTCTGGGGCCACTCAATGCAATGCGGGTTTGTGTAGTTGGGGTGAAAGAGTAAGGAAAAACAGACTGTTAAGTCACTGTGAACCAACACTTGTATCTTTCCCATGACAATTTCATTAAATAGTACAAACAGTACAGGCTACTAAACAAAGAGACTACGTTTGGTGCTAAAAGCAGGCTGCCATTCATCTGTCTGGCTTACGACAAAGCTTAAACCCAGTAAAACAACATGCTTAGGTCATTCTGTATGTGTTCATTTTCATGAATTCCCTGATGGTCTCTGCTCCAGATTCTCAGCTCTCCAGTGGCCACAGCAAATTAATGCGCGAGGGCTCTCAGTGTCAGCACGTAAGAAAGAAGCGGATCCTGTCTGAAAGGTAGTGTGAGTTTCAGGTTCTGGTTACACCAGAGGGAGACACAGGCATAAGGAGCACAAAGAGGAGGTTGTTAGTGGTAGTTGTGCTCTGGGGACACCAACAGAAGGAAGGAACTGTTGCCCTTACCAGTCCCCCCTCCAGCCCTACAAGACAGCCTAGTCAGCAGTGAACCGATACGTGAGTCAGTAAAAATCTCTATTTGCATACCTACTTTTAAACACTACAGCGGGTGGGATCTTTCCTCAACATTTGCTACCCAATGCTAACCCATGGTATCCTAAAGACACTCAGGTCATTGTATGGATTCAAGCAGGTGGCATTCAGCAAACCTGCTCATGCCTGTCAGTCAAGTAGATCAAGAAGGAGAGGGGGAGTACAGCTACTACACGACCATGTGTGAGTGTGAGTGCTGCAATTCTTAATAGCCCTTGCTCCGTCTGCTTCAACACTCACGGCTCATAGCCTACACATAAGCAGAGTCGAGTGGGGGGAGAAGAAACTTGCTCAAACAAGCTCTCTTGTTAACCAGCAGACGTAATAAATTGCCTTAGGCAACAAGCCAAAATAATAAGAAAAATGGACCTAAAAAAGAACATGCTACAGCCACATCGATGTGTATTAACATATTGCACACACATACAGATGCAAAATGTATGAGCTGGTGACTGATTCTTATCTGGTGGCATGAGGAAGAATATATTATGAAATGCACAATTAGTGTTGCATAATTTAGGTGTTATAAGTGTGTCATTGAAAATAACTTGTGAATACAGGTGTTCTTCATTGTAATCTTAAACTTTTACAAGAACTCTTAAACTTTTCATTTATAAAGATTGTGTTAAACAAGTTGGGACATCCTAGCCCTTGTCTTTGATTTGTTTTGACCAGCTCAGTTCTAACCCCATATTTGACTAAGCTTTGCTGCCATCCCATCAGCTGTTCTAAGTCCCTCCCTCTTGTGGTTTCCGGCTAGTAACAGGCCACCCAATCCTTAAACTGGTTCCCACTGTGCTGGGATAAAAACACAACTACCTGATCATTGTGTTCTTTTAAAAGAAAACACTCTATGTGCTGGAAATATGTAGCTGGGGTTTCTTTTTTTAGAGTCTCCCCTTCGGTCAGGCCCTAAGTTAAAACAAAAGAGCAGTATAGAAGTAAACTGTGACAACGACAGAACACTGGATGTTGCTTAAAAGTTCAAGCATTTCACAGTGAAAAAACGACGTGACACCAGCTGTCACACTCACTCCCACCAGTCATGAAACGACACATTACAACCAGTGTTCAAATGGTACAAGTTCCACAGACACTGAAAGTACAGTGAGACACACAGATCAGGTGGCCATTTTGATGTTGAAATTAACCAGCAAGCCAGCTCAGCAGCGTCACAAGGTAGCACTTCCAAGTGGCAGATGCAATAACACAAGCTCAAAAACCCCATAGCAAGCGAAGCTAACTGGATCCAGACGTGCACACATGCTGCAGCAAGGCCCACGATTATGATTTCTTTTCTCTTTTTGTGCCAGACAGGAACAAAAGACAGCAGCAGTTCCAGTTGACGTTAGCCTGACGTTATGTAAACAAGCTCCCGTGTCAACGTCTGAAAAGGCCAGTTTGACTCAACTCCCCTGACAAACAACAGGCTGGACAAAGAAACCAAAGTGACATGAGGTGTTTTTAAACATCAGCCCACCGCTGCCACATCTACTGGAGGCGATGGGAGAAGACGATCTAGGGGGGAAAGGGGGACAATGTTCGTCGCATATACACAACGAGCTAAACAGCTAACGTTAGAAAAACACACACACACACACACACACACAGTGCTGGGGTTGAAATAACAAAAAAAAAGGGAAGGACACGGGAGCGATGAGCTAACACAGCTGTCCCGATGAGCCGTGGAGGGGCTCGCAGGACAGAAATAGCTAACACTTGGCTTTGCTAGCAAAATGTTGTTTACACAAAAACACCAGTCATTCACAACGAGAGCCCCATCTTCTCTGGGCTGTCGAGACAAAACAAGCGGCGTCGACACAGTGAATTCGCTGGTATCACACACACACACACACATGAAGGTACAGTGGACCGGACAGCCGCTGAGATGTTGCTTATGTTCAGAAAGGATACAGTTTCACCACATCGGTGTCCATTCGCCTTTTGCCCGGACTTGGAGACGACATTTTTTTGGCTATTTCCACCGCAGAACACCAGCGTAGCGAAGCGAAAGCTGGCTCCAAACCCCTGAAACGCTAGAGCAGCCCAGCAGAACGAGAACTATCCGAAAGTTAACATTTGCTCGGTAGAAACGTCCACAGCTGAGCGTCTTCTCGGTGCACCGTCTCCCCGTCCTAATGAGTAGCTGCTGGGCTAACGATGGACCTATGCTGCTCGCTGCCTCTCACCATGGTTCTGACAAGCTGGGATCCCTCCGCGGACTACGTCACAAGTCTGCGACTACACGTAACCACCGATGGCCGTGTTTGTAGTTTTTTTTTATTTAGAACCTTTTGCTCTGCTGTTTTCAGTCTAAAGAAATATTCGAGTAACATTATACAGTTTAAAATTTAAAATCCAATCCATCATCCAAGAAGGAGGGGTGGGTGAAGTGTTCGAGTCCACAACACACTTTTAGAGTTTCAGGGGTAAACAGTGTTGCAGCCAAATCCAAAGTAAATAGTGAAAAAACATAAAATGCCTACTCACACCAATCATTTTTCGTCATGTTTATGATAATATGTGGTTTATAAAGTGACAAATCATTTCATTAAAGTTGAATATGCCTACATGCAGCCATCTATTCAGAGTTTGTCATTTAAGATAAATAGCCATATAAAAAGTTATAGGGATTTGATGTTTGTATAAATAGTAATTCATGTTGAAGTCAAGCCTAATAAAGGACAATCCAAAAGACTAGCTAAATATTATTACACCTTTAAAGGGTTATACTCTAGGTCTTTTATAATATTATATTATGGGAAGTCATATTTGTTTTCCTCTTTCGGTGTGTTCCCTGTGATTATTTCTTCTCCTGATAAGAGAAGCGACGCAGATATGCAACCTGAAAGTGTCTCACACCAGCTGAAAACCCTGAGGAGCATATTCTCACAGCTGTACAAACATGGAGGACATGTTGCTGCCCATACATTAAAACATACAAAAGAGATTTTTAAGGAACATTCTGTACATTGCTTTTGTATCTATCATGCAAATGCCTCAAAATGGCTTCCACTGAAACCAGTCCCAGATGCATCAGTGGGTTCAAAGAGCATTGCCATGCCTGAATTCAACTTCCTTGTAAACTTCAGCTTTAGTTTTTGTGTTGTTTTGAGGAATGACACTCAACCTTCAGAAGAGTATTTTTATTAAACACTTTTAGGAAACTCTACTAAACTAAAAGCACATGCAGAAGAGTAAGAACTGCATCAGTAAGATGATGTCACAGGGAGGGGAGACAAGGAATTACAGGATTCCTGAATCTAATTTTAAAACAGGTTTGACATCAATGGCACATGGTTCTACCTGCTTGTATTAACCAGGATTGTAGTACTAACAAACATTTCAATTCTCAAAAAAAATTGTTCGTTACAAAGATATCTCTTACCCGAGCAAAAGAGTACACACACAAAAGAGAACTTCCTCAGTTTTTTGCTGATATGTGGTTAATGTTTCACTTCCACAAATGACTCAACATACAATGAAGGTAAACATTACCTATCCAGTGTGAAGCCATTTGGCCCATTCTCATGATCATTGACTCCTCATCTCTTGTTCTCACCAGAAATCGAGACCATCATGATTTCATGAAGCACTACTGGAGAAGACTTCATGTAAGATTATTAGAAGGTGCCTAGTTTGTGGCCAATTTTCATACTGAGATGTGTTCTTTTACGTGATGACTACTTATGTTGCAAGGCCTGTAAAGGCCCCAGTAGTTGCACATCCATATGATTTTCAGCCAGATAGGCTTCCTTCACATTTCACTGTTCACAGAGAAGACACTTGTTTATTTTTCTGAAGACACAATCAACTTCCTTTCCGTCCAGAATCACTTTGACTGTAAACACGACTTTAATGGATGGCATACACTGATATGATATGACACTGCTGTCCGACTTCGTACTGCAAAAAGAGGACAGGTCAATTTGTCACTTCAGTGCTGCGACGCTGTCTGGTTGGAAACAGTCTGCTGAGATGGAGTGCAGGATACCTGCCACTGACGGAATATAGCAAACACCCTTTTAGACTTGTCACGAGGGCCCTGCAAGGAAAGAGAGAAAAGTTAAATACCAAATATTGTTTATATGATAGATACAACTCAAACGTCAGCCTAAAAAAAAAGTCATTCGGTCTAAATACACTTTAAATAGATTGAAATACATGTGGTTTTGAAATATAAACATCAGACATTGTGACTTGCCTGTGCTGGACTGCCTCCTGCTGTATCTGAATTATTTTTCATGGGCATGAGTAGATCGAGAGCAGCTTTCCAGCCCTGCTGATGAAGATCTGAACCTCCATCCAAGAAGCGGATGGCCCCTGGATGCACATTCTCCTTTCCCACAGAGATCCAGGGACACCAGTCTCTGTGCTGAGCGAGAGGGTCAAATGTGTTCTTGTGCAGGAGATCATCCTGAAATAACAGGAAAGAAAGTTAAAAAGCTGTTTGTTATAGCAAATTTAAAATAAGGAATGCAAAACCTTTCATATGATTGGGAAGTCCCAGTGTCAAATCTTAAACCTTGCCATAACAAAACGTCAACGCTATGAAATCAGCAATAAAGTTAGTTCTTACAGCACCACCAACTGATGAGAGGCACAGGCGCTTGGGAGGTTGTTGCGGGCTCACGGTCCCATCAGGGGCAAAGGTGTCCCCCTGTCCTCTGCTGCGCGTTGCAGACCTCTTGCCCCTGGTCAAGGGACTTGGCAGCTCTTCACTGGGGCTTGGTGAGTCTCTGCTGCGGGATCGCAAACCCACGGGGGAGGAGGTTCCCTCTCCCTGTAACATACACCAGAACATAAGCAATTTTTTAATGACCGTCGTCGACCCTTATCACCACAAACTCTCTTGACATATTTGGTGTTGTCTTCTACGGGCATGTCACAGTTTTTTTTCCCCACAATGGGAGTTAATTGTTTTCTTCTTTTTTCAAATGTTTGTGTCTGTCGCATGTTAGACGCGTCATCACCCCCCTACTCGCTTGCGGTGAATCCAGCTGAGGATCCCCTACTGTGTTCAGACTTTATACTAGGAGGCCAGCGGATAAAGTCTGTAGAAACCATAGAGCGCCTCACTTGGACATTTGCGTTCACACATACACCTCCTGTCTGAAAGCAGCCTGGTATATTTTGAAGATATAATTTGCCATTGATGTAGCATATTTAACTGGTCAACTTTCATTTCAACCTAACTTGCCTGGTCAGAGCGCGTGGAGTCTTGGCTCCTCAGCTTCATGCGACTTGGAGTTGTAGCAGGTGTGGGTGACTCAGATGTAGAGCGGTCTCCCAGGCCCTCATGCGTGGCTGCTGAGGCAGGAGCTGCTGTTGTTTGAGCAGGCTGGCCTACAGTTATGGAATCTACGTCATCCCCTGTTCCCTCCATCTGGTGGAAGTTCCACAAGCCCACCTTGCGCATACAGTAGGAGCATGTGAGGATGGGCAGGTTCATGGCGTGCAGAGCTGGGCTAAGATAAGATAAACCACGGAACAGACATTTTGATCAATTAAAGTTCAAACAAATAGTGTTATGTTTGCCTCAGTTTAAAAATTCTCTCCCCTGTTCTTTCATCATCAACCACCCATATGTATGCTTACTCTACAGCAACATCAATTTGTGTGTAGTAGAAAAACTTTCTTCTCACCTTCCTGCCCAGCCACAGAGAGAAACAATGCATGCAGCCACCTGGACAGCCAAAGTTTCAGAGCATTGAATCTCTCCCTTTCTTTTTTGCTCTTCCTCGACAAGCTGTAGTACTGAACTGATGACGTCCTCAGTCAAAGACTGCAAGGGAAAGTTAACAAGAATTACATGTGAAGTTAACAAGAATTACACTTGAAGTTTAAAGTTTACATTTTTCTGCAATAATCAGATTTATCCTGCCTCACCATAGATTTCAGCTGCTCTGGCTTCATGGCCGGCAGCTGCTGTGCAAGGAGACAGGCACTCTGGAAGCGCTCTAAGAAGGCAGTGAGAAGTGTTGATGGTTCACAGGCTGGAACCAACCAGAACCGCTCTGAAATCAAATCAATATTCGCGATGACCATTGTGTGGATACCCCAGGCTAAAATAATATTGTCAAGTTGAAGATTATATAGGGCAGTTTACAGTACAAGCTAGAATACTTTTTACCTGGACAGGGAAAGTCGGGCCAAGGACAAAACTTCTCATGCTGTGTCTGAAGCTGCTTCAAAATCTCTGCAATGCGGGATTCATCTATTTTAAAAGAAGAGAGTTGCCTGACCATTCATTTTTCAGCCTCACCTTGCTTGAATAAAGTGTGTGCTGACAAAGGTTTACTTACATTTTTCAAAGTCTAAAGTCGGTTGTAGTGTTGCACAAAGGAAAGCGTGGCAGCTGGAGCACTTGAGCATATCGCAGCCAATGTTGATCCAGCCATAACGGGCGCACATCAGAGGAGACAATGTGCGAGGTTTGCCTGCCCATTTCAAACAGTGCTCTGCTAAGGAAACAGTACTTTCACATTCATTAACATTCTGAATTAAAGTAGATATCTATGCAGGGATAAATTAAAACCACAGTGATGTCTTTATCAGTGATCACATGGGGAGAGAAACAACAAGTTGCCTCAAACTGGGTCAAAAGTTTGAAATGATTCAAAGGATATTGAATAGGATTCCACTCTTGAGAAAAATGCTTCTTTGTTTGTTGCCTCACACGGTGCAGGAGTGTTGCTTTTTACTTCCAGAACCTTCAAATGCCCCTGTCCACTGAGATGCAAACAAAGGAAATACACACGGCACAGACGTTACATTCACCATATTAATCCGAAGAGAATTAATCTACAAGAACTGTACATTGTAATTCACCTAATTCCTGTAAATAAACAGAAATGCACAGTCCAAAGTGAGGCCTATTAAATGTAATTACGGAAGTGGTGGATAAGGGGCTATTTACTTACTGGAAAAATTTAATTAAAGAGAAGAGACTGCAAACTGCACTTAGTGTACAGAGCTTCATCTCAGTGAATCTTGCGTAACAGCAGAGAAAACAAAGCAGTGCAGCTCTACCCCTCTTTTCTGACTAAATACATCGATCTATAGTATTGATGCATAGTACAAATTCACTATAGGTGTGTAATCCAGCCCTAAATACTGTGCAACATTTCGACAATAATCCACAAACTCACACCAATCCAATAGAACACCATGTTACCGTCAGATTTAAGGTCCCCACCCCCTTTAACCAGAGAGCGTGCAAGGG